AAATAATCTTATAAAGTATGTGTCCTGTATTATACTGTTCCCCTTGCAAAATAAGCCCCAAACCAACACACCATATAATTCAACCTAATTCTTTTAAGTAAGTTTTATTTTCCCCACTTCACAGAGAAGAAAAATGAAAAGCAAAGAGGTGAAATAATCTGGCCAAGTCTCATACCTGGTGACAAGATCAACATGTGAACCCAAAAAGCCCTGCTGCCAATTTCAGGCCTTCCCTCATCACACCATACTAGTTATCAATAGGGATTTTCATAAACTCTGTAAAATACTCAGTATAATTTTCATGTACACTTCTTACAGGCCAGATACAGGTTTAGGAGCTAAAGAGAAAAACACTGGCATTTAAATAATTTATATTTATATGGGAAAAGGGCAGCCAATACATAAAAATATACTATGTCAGAGGCCAGTGAGTACATAAAGGAAGTAAAAGAGGCAAGGAAATAGAAAATAACAGGTGGGGAGGATGAGGAGGCACTGCAGTAAGAACAGCTAGGCTGGGGCTGGAATAATGGGAAGTCCCCACACGAAAGTCTAGGGCAATGGAGAGTGAAGAGAGAGACTTCAGTGAGGAAGGAGGAGGTGGCAGGCTGTGCTTTCTCCCTAGTCCAGACTCACGGTGTGGGAGGGGTGGCTCAGACCTGCAATGCACAGTGACTGCTGGTGACCCCAGAGGCCTCCACAGAGAATTGCACCAGTGAAATGGAGCAGCGGACGCTGCGGACTGCAGAGGCTGCTCAGTTATTCTGGTTAAGATATCCCCACAAGAGGATGATTGGCTGGAAGCCACTTTGGAGAGGGGCCAACTGAGCTTAGACCTCAGAGCAACTTTGGCTTCATCCAGCAGCTCCCAGTGTCAGTGCAGGGAGCCGAGTCCAAGTAGGCAAGAGGTCAGGGAGCCGAGTTCGAGCCAACAGGAGGCACGCAGACTGCTGCAAGCCGAACAGGTCTGGTTCCAGCCTTACAGACAGAAACCAGCCTGAACGCCAGTGGTACTAAAAGTGCAGGCTCACTGAGATTACCCACTACCCCACGGAAAGCTATAGCGGGCT